CACAGGCTGCCCCCGGCACGGAGCCGAGGTGGCGCAGGGCATGCCAAACAGCCACAGCGCTGGGGGTGTTCTCATATGAGTTCTGAAAAATTAACGAAGGCTATTTTACTTTTCCCTTCCTAACGCAGAGAAATGAGCTGTTGCTGAAAAACAAGAATAATCAACTTAGAAAGGAGATGAGGATGGACAGGTTTGGTTGTAAAGGTTATAAACAGCAAGGAGGGAAAAAGAAAAAAATGAAGCTGGATCAAGAGGTTCAAACCAGGGCATAATGGGACAGAGATAGGTTAGGAGTTCTTTGAACTGAGAATTAGGGTGATTTTCTTGCCAATGAGTTGTGTATGAATGGGAAACATGTGCCAAGGAGAAGGGGCAGAGACCCATCTCCCCTGGCTCTGAGAATGTGTCTGGAAAACAGAGATCTGCCCTGCCGAACATGCCTGAGCTGATTTCTCAAGATTTATGCTTCTACACAGCCTCGTTTGCAGCGTAGGAATCCCGTCAGGCCAGTGGCCTGTATTGTCCGGTTTCTCCTCTTATGGAACAGAACTTCCCATCATGGCAAGTGATGGACCTATGTTACCTACTCAAAGCATTTCTTCATGCCTACAAGCAAAATTTTGCAGCATGAGGATTTGTATTTTGTTCTTTTATGCCTATGATCTACCCTATTTGTTTAGCCAGCAGCAAATGTACTCACGGCAGATGAGGCTTGAAGAGTCTGACCAGGTTTCACCGTTACTTCTTTCTTCAGCCCTCCCGTGAATTCCCTCCTAAGTTCAGGCTCTGTAAGTATCTTACGATGAACCCACCTCTCCTTTTCTCCCTGTAGGATCTGATACGAAGAGATATTCTGTATTACAAAGGTCGCATAGACATGGATAAATATGAAGTGGTGGATATAGAAGACGGGAGAGATGATGACTTCAATGTCAGCATGAAGAATGCCTTCAAACTTCATAACAAGGAGACTGAGGAAATGCACTTATTCTTTGCAAAGAAACTGGAGGAGAAGTTACGATGGCTTAGAGCTTTCAGAGAAGAAAGGAAGATGGTAAAAGAAGATGAAAAGATAGGTGAGGAGTATGAAATGAATCTGAAAGGAGATTGTTGGTCATGCTTACTTTAGCCCCAACTGTTGGAGAAGCCCACTTTTTTTTGTAGTAGAAGTACAGTTCAACCTTGTTCAAATGTCCTTGATTGCTCTCATAGTCATAACTAGGTCTCTTTCCAGTTCAGTTACTGTTAATTTTGGCCCTCAATAAACTAATTCTGCCCATAGCTTCAAGCCCGGACCTCCGTGGGTATTGTGGGAGACGGAAGTCTTTGGCCATCTGACTCCAGAGTGTCCTGGCTGCATCATTTCTGCTCTGGTTAAGCATGTCTCATGCAGGGTAGGAGGGTGGCGAAGTCCATGACTTATCAGCCGTGCCCTTCCCTCAGCATCAGCCCATAAACTGACTGTAAGCAACGTCAGTTCAGGCTCAGTTTGTGTTGCTCAGCTGTAAAGCACTGGGCGTACTTATGATACTGTATAAATAATAATGGGTCTAATCTTACTTTTCATACAGCCCCTGCACAAGTGAGATTGTAAAGAGGCCTGCCCTTTCAAGGAAGATTTGCTTTTCAGTAGAATACCTGCCCGTACACCCAGCTCGCGGGGTGATTCTTTGCCACCTAGGGTGTTCTGTGTTTGCCAAACAGTGCAGAACGTTCCCCCTCCCCAACAGAAAAAGAGGTTTTGTAAGCAATCTTCTGAATTGTGTTTGCCGTGTTCCCTTTTTCAGGCTTTGAAATTTCTGAAAATCAAAAGCGGCAAGCGGCAATGACAGTAAAGAAAGTCAGTAAGCAAAAAGGTAACCGGCAACATGCACTGTGCCTGGTGATGTGAGGGTGGAGCGGGCTGGGCTGAATCCTGCTGGGTTAGGATCCAGCGTCCCCCTTGAATTTCCCCCTCCCCTTTCTCTTTTTTTATAAAATACCGTTTGTGCTTTGTATCCTTTCTTAATGTATCTGTGGGCCAAATTAATCTCTGGTCTAATGTGGTTGAAGCCAGTGGAATTTCACCAGAGATGAATTTGATCTCGTGTCTCCAGTCTGATGTCCAGAAGCTGTCCCTGGGGGCAGAAATCTCTCTCGGTTGTTTATCTCAGGCTGAAATGGCAGTGAGTGCGGAGATGTGTAGGGGTTCTGCTAATTCCCAAAGTCTCCCATTAGCGAAGAAAGAAAGATGGCTAAATACTGGAGATGGTGAGGGATCTACCCCTTTCCTGTGTTTGGAAAGGGGACGCTCACATTTCCTGGGGCTACCTATAACTTTTTAAGGACAGCACAGTAGCATCAGCTCTAGGAAATAAAGTGTCTTAGTAAAGACATTATATCTCTCCAACGTCAGATTCATTTCCCCACCCAGGCAGGCTACAGCCAACTACTAAATGCCATGCTAGATATTAAACAGAGTCTCAACTGGCCAAACAGCCAGCGTTAATTATCTCTCGCAATAACTCTTGCAGCTACAGGTTTTGAAATAGTAAATATGGAGGGAAAGTCAGAAGGGTCATTTTTCATGTTTTCCAAAGCTTCACAAAGTCACCGATTCGTTACCAAAGTACCGTGGCACAACTAGGCCTATAAACGGGTTTTGAGAAAACTCATCGCTTCTTGGCTATAGTCAGTTCCAGGCAGATTTGTCCCCGCTCTGTACAGGCATTGGGTTGGTTTTTGCAAAAGCTTAAGGAACCTCTTTGCTTTCTGCCTCACCTGTTTGTTGTCTACTGGCTTTGCTGGTCCAGTAGTGGTTTGCTAGGCCAACTGTGAACTCCTTGGTTTGCTGTGTCTCTCCATTGTCATTAGTCTTCTCCTCTCTACTGACTGCCTATGTTGTCTTCTGAGATGTTCTCTAAAAACTCTCCTGGCCAGATTTTCTAAGCTCGAAGTATGCACACCCCCAAAAACGGGCCCTGGGAAGATGTACCTTACACAATGTACGTGTAGGTCAGGCAGTAGCGGACGCTGCCATGAGCTCGGTGTTGCAGATTTGCCCCTCGCCACTAGCATGCTTGTCCCTCAGCACAGAAGCAACCACGGAGATTATGGTGATTATGGCAACTGGAAAATTAGAGAAACTGATTTGCATGATGGCCACGACAAAACCAGTTTTAATTATTATGTGCTGTTCAATTAATTATATTATTAATTAATTAAGGTATCAATTAATTAATAATTGTACTGTTCAGTCATTAAGTGACACAGTTCAAAGGTGCCTGAGCATGCCTACCAGTATTCCCACTTAAATCACTGAACTTGCATCCTGACAAATGTAATATGCCTAACCGTACTTATTTCTTACACAGCAATTGCTCTCGTTTTCTCTCTTTCTCTTTCTCTCTCTTTCTCTCTGAGGTGAAAAAGGAGGGGCTATTATCTTAGACTTCTCTGACTATAAAATTAATTAGCTCCTAAAACACTGGTCAGCATTTCTTTTATGAAGAAGGGGCTTATGCTGTAACACTGGCAGGTCTTTTTATGAGATGAAGTCCTCGAGTCAGACAGAATCCAGTCAGACCCCAAGCACCAGGTTAAGTGAAGCCTGGTTGTTTTACTTAAGACATGAAATCTGAAAAACAACAAATAGGGTCATTAAATTAGTAGCTCTGTTTCTTTTGTCCTACATTGTGGTAATCATAGCCCAGTCTCAGATTAATTAACTTAAGTACCGGCATGGCATGTTTCTCTGAAAACCCCTAGTTTTCTTACTCTGTGGTTTGTCTCGTGCCCACGACCCAAGGAGGGGCAGGAGGCTGCCGGAGCAGGGAGCTGCTGGCATTGCTCAGAAGAGGGAGGAAATTCCTGAGAGTTGGCTTTTAGCGACTGATTTTTTGAATCTTGCCATATGCATTTTACATATATTGCCAGCAGTTTTTCTGCCAGAGACCTTGGCAGGCACCTGGGGCTGTGCTGCTGAGGCTGAGGCGCAGCTCTCAGGGCCGGGAACGGGCAGACGCGTGTCTCAGAAGAGGGAGGAAATTCCTGAGTTGGCTTTTTTCGACTGATTTTTTGAGTCTTGCCATATGCATTTTACATATATTGCCAGCAGTTTTTCTGCCAGAGACCTTGGCAGGCACCTGGGGCTGTGCTGCTGAGGCTGAGGCGCAGCTCTCAGGGCCGGGAACGGGCAGACGCGTGTGCCTATGGCAGGTGGTTGCTGCCTGCAGGCACCGGTGCCTGCCTCTGCCCTGCCCGCGCGGCCTCCCGCAGCGCGACAGTGGCATGGGAAGGGGCTTTAACCTTGGGTTTAGAGCATCAGTTATACCTGGAAAGCAGTGAAGCCTGTTAGGAGTAGGAATACTTCCACTGCATTCACCTGAACTATTTATTCGTGTAAAGGTACGGACTTCGCAGGACAGGTCTCAGTGGCTACAGCAGGGCTTGACGGCTCAACAGCTCGACCTGATGTGCCGAGAGCCCTGCTCCGCGTCGGCGGATGCCTATTACAGATTTGTTTCTAGATTATCTCAGCTGTTCCCTCCATCTCTTAAACGGGAAACCATGGTAATTTCCCTGTCACAGAATACTTCAGGACGAGAGAAAAGCCGTGAAGGAGGTGAAATGGAAAATGCAATCAACTTTGTTAGAGGTGAAGCAGAAAAACATTTTTCAAATAGTATAAACTGCTGCTTATTTCATGCGCTGCTGTACCACACCTCCCAGAAGTATTACCCTGGAGCTGGCTGGCGTGCCTTTGAAAAGGAGGCATTTAAACTGCCGCTGGCTGTGGCAGGCGAGGGAGAGACGCCGCGAGATCAGCTGATAGCAGGAGAAGAAGCCTTAAAACTCTGCTTTTTAAACTAATGGAAACTTTATCCAGGTGGTTAAGAGAGGACAGAACTCTCAGTGTTTTGAGAAGTTTTTGACCCCGACATGCGGGCGCTCCGTGGGGCACGTCAGCCCCCTCTGGAAGCACCCCCTCCTGACGCTCACGTCCGCGCAGAAATGCGTGCGCGCAGGCAGTGCCAGGCTCCCTTCCAAATCGATTTAGTGATGCGCAAGGTCGGATTTCAGCAATACACTAGGGTTTGCACTACTTATTGGATTGGGCAAAATGTAATGATATTAGACCAGGTGCCTTAAGACAGCATTAAACCAATTTTTGGCCTTCTTTAAGTCCATTAGACGTAAACTAAATGGGTAGTGTTGGCTCTGCACCTTACCAACAGATAGAGAAAAGGGCTGTTTGTTGGGGTTTTTTTTCTTTTTGCATTGATTGTTCAAGATTTTGCCTCTCGGTTACTGCCCTTTAGCCTCTTTCAATGTCAGCGTGGTAACTGGGAATAGAATTCACTATGGTGTCTCCTAGAAATAGTAAAGTAACAGAGACATTTATTTGTCTTGACTTACAAAAACAACAAAAATTCCCACAACCCTTCTGAAGCTACAGTCAATCAGGCGTGCAACTTTTCTGCAGAGAAGTCCCAGTACCAGTGAGGACCTTTGCTGCCTGCACTGACGCTGCAACATTAAGATAGCATTGAGTTGCACTTCCAAAATTGTGCTTGTTATTGACTAAAGCAGTGGAAACACGTCTAAAGCTCCACTGAAAATGGATCCTTTGTGATCCCCAGTCCGTCCTTAACATAGACACAGGGTTATCCGGGGTACTTCTTCCATTTCTAAGTGTCTGAAAACCGAAGGCTCCTTTAGTGCCTCTGTCCATCAAGGGCTTCTGTCCTGCTGGCCACTTTTAATCTCCCCTCCAATAATTAGTGTTTGCAGCTTTCAGAAACATTCAGTTACTTTTCTGATCCCTGGCTTTATCCTCATCTGCCCCCACGCAGGACAGCGTGTACACGTAAGGGATTTTTGCTCGTGTTCCCAGAGGCTGTCAGCCAGGGGTGCCAGGGGGATTAGAGGTTCCAGTGCCCAGCAAGGAGACCCCATTCTTACAGCACCATTTCCCACTAATGTTTCCATTTTGGAAAACGTAACGTCTGTTCAAATTCAAAGAAGTGACCTTAGTACTAGGTGGGAGGGTTTCCCCCCCCAGGAGAGCTCTTCAGACCCGTGCTATGAGCCAGCTCCTTCATGCCCTTCTCTCTGTCCTCTCTATTCTCCTCTGCACTGTGCCACAGCTTCACCAAAGCAGATGCCCTCTGACCAGCCTTTAGCCTGGTGGTCTGGGACTTGCGGAAGGAGGGAAACACGTATTCAATCACCATCACCCCTAGCCCTGAGCTTAGAAGGATGCTGTCATTAAATCTGTCCATAAATACTCAGCAATGCAAACCCAGCAGGGGTTAAATCATCAGCCAGCATGAACTGCTTTGGCCTGCAGTAAAACACCCTCTGAGTCACTGAATTTTCCTGCTAATTTCTTCCTTTCTGATCCTTTGAGCTCAGGGCCAGCTGTGTCATAAAAACCCTGACCCAAACACCCAACAGCTTTTCTCTGACTTCTCACACTTCTGCACTTCAAGCTCTCCCCCAGCAAGTCTGCATAGCAAACCGAGATGGCTGCACGTTAGCGTACTTGTGCTGGCTTCGCCCAGCTGGCGAGGACAGGTCTTACCAGGTAACAGAGTCTGCAGGTACCTCCTGTGGTTCTCCTGAGTGTTTAAGCCTATTTTATTGCATCTTCGCTGCTAACAAGATTGCTGTGGCCCTGACATGTTTCCCCATCCCATTCACACATGTAGGCATAGCCTCGGGGGGATTCAGAGAAACTGAGCAACACATAGGCTGACCACTTTAAGACGAAGGGGGACATTTGCATTTTCAGATAATCAGGGTCACTTCCCTTTTCTCACAGAGCTTCCCCCAGCGGAGGTGAAAGAACGGAGCTAATCATGTTCTTAGTGGT